TATGTATATGTGTATATATATGTATATATATGTGTATATATATGTATATATATATATGTAAATATATGTGTATATATGTATATGTATAGGGGGTGTCAAGCATACAACCCGCGGGCCAGAACCGGCCGGCTTGGGGCTTGAATGCGGCCCGCTTGATGAATGTTGAAAGTATAAAAATGCACAGACACTACATGTTAGTGATGTTTTGTCGAATATTTCATTGCATTTATATAATTTCTATTACATTTGTAATTATGTGCATGACACAAACAAAGGGGGGGGGGGGGACATGCACCTATTTTTATGTGTAGGTGATTATATTATGATTGTACTGGTCCGGCCCACTTGACATCTAATCAGGCTGTGTGTGACCCCTCAACCAAAAATGTGATATGGAAAATTCACGTCCAGTTGCCTAACAGAAAATCCCTAAAACAAAATGGCGTTTTTAATATCAAATGGAATACAGAAAAATGATTCAATATAAACGCAAGAACTGGAAGCAATCAAAAACATAAATAAATATTAAAAAATAGAAAACCGAATTAAAATATATTTAAGATTAACATTTAATTCATTTAAATTAAAACAAAATAAATAAATCACAGAATAAAAAGAAAAAAATACATAGTTACTTCCTCGGTCTGACTGTTAATTGTTGACAATCACGGTGACGGCTTGTGTGGTGTTAGGTTACAGCTGTCGTTACCTTTGCCTCCCACTTGAGGGCGCTCATGTGCGTTTCATATTGTGCAGCGCAAAATCGCTCAAAATGTCCTGAGCACAGCGCGTGTTCTGCCAACATGGAGGGGCGGCCCTGTTTACATTTTGTAACAACATTGTCTTTTACTATTAGTATTTATATTGGATACTTACAGTATAATTAAACTTTACCGCTGATTATAAAATATCACTGATATATTAGCGGTTCTTTTCAGTCACTTCTTTCTCTGTTATTAAAATCTGAACCGTTTGTCAGTTGACAGATGTCTGCTACAATGCTGCCATCACGTGTGCAAAATGTAAACTGCACGTGGAATTGGTATTATTTATGATTTCATACGGTTTGCGCCAGCGTGTCTGCTACAATGCTGCCATCACGTGTCCAAAATGTAAACTGCACGTTGAATTGGTATTATTTATGATTTCATACATTCAAAAATGACACATTCAGAGACAAAAAGCGCGGGCCTTCGAAAAATGCGATTTCGGGCACGCTAACCAGACTTTGGACATGCATGGAATGGAGTTCAGATTTGGCCTTATCTACTTTAAAAATAAAAAATAAAAAAAAAATTCATTTCTCTCCATAAATTTAAATAGTTATATACAGTACTAACCAGTTGTTACAATTTAATACATCATGGGTATTTGTTTCAAACTACACTTTTAGGTTTGTCTGCGCTGACTTTTTTTTTCTTACTGTGTTGTAAATGTAATATTATTATTATAGTTTGGTGTAGATTGAATAGTTTTGTTTATTTTGTATTGTCTTTAAAAATGCAAAATGCAAACCTTTCAGAAAACAGTAGCCGTTCTTTTAAATATATACACTTTATTTAACTAAAGAAGCACAGAGAAGTACAGTTTGTACTGTAAGACCGTCACCCTGTGTCCTGGTGTCATCTCTGGACAGGTCAGGACAGAGTGGGACAACAACGATAGACACATTTAAAGCTGGATATTCGGTTGCTTTCTCTTTCTGCTCTCTGCTGTTTTATTGCGGTGGTCAGCAATAACCACAGATGAGGAAGTAAAGCAAAAGACGTCTGTCTTTTATGACAGGTGAAAGTCCACTGCGGGCCATTCAGCTGAGCAAATGAGCACGGGAGACAGACGGCAGCATTAGTTCTGAGAGAGCTCGCGGAGACATGGACAAGTCAAACTTAATTCTGAGCTCGTTCGTTCTCATTGTGGTTCTGCTTCAAGACTCCTATGGGCAGAGTAAGTAATACATTTTGATCCATGTTTCTTACCTGTGACCAAAATTTGAGGATTATCATAATGCAGTAGCCTACGTCAGGGTTTCCTCCAGCTGCTGCCATGTTAATGTGTTAGTTAAAAATCAACATTACATTGGAATGAATCGTCGTTGATTCAGTGAATATCTGAATATACAAAATGCTTTAGTTGTATTTAGTTGTATTTAGTTATTCTATCCTTTTCATACTCACACACACACATATATGTGCACACACAAACAAACACACACAAACAAGGGTTAGGTGCACACACAAACAAACACACACAAACGAGGGTTATCAAGGTCTAAGGTGTGGATTTAAGTATAATAAAAAAAAAACAAACTTCAATTTAATTATTAAGCAAACCGTTAGTGGGAGGCACCCTAGTAACAAGGATATGTTTTGGGGTTTTTTTTTTAGTTATTTCTTGCGATGTGTTTTTATTTAAATAGAGACAAGTATTTATATTTCGAGTCTGACAGCATTAGTATGACCTTTGACCTTTAAAATGTCCTCGTTGACCTTTTGGTGTTGTGTTCAACTACATCACCTTTAAACACTTTTTTAAAAATATATATTTAAATACATTTTTAAATATATATAAATAAATATTTAATATATTTTTTTTATATAAAATATTTTTTTAAATAATAAAAATATTTATTATTTAAAATAATAAATTTTTTTTTTTAAATATTTCACTTTTTAAATATGGGGGCGGGGGGGTCAAACTCATTGTGGTTCAGGGGCCACATACGGCCTGATTAGATGTCAAGTGGGCCCTGAACCAGTGCAATCATAACAAAATGATTAGATTTAATGAAATGGTTGACAAAACATCACTGACATGGAGTGTTTTTTCACTTTCAACATTCATCTAGCGGGCCGTATTGCACCCCCTAGGGGCCATTTTTGGCCTGCGGGCCATAGATTTGACACCCCTGATTTGGAGTGTCCAATCAACAAAATCCCCTAGTTTCTGGACGCACACACACACACACACACTGATCTATGTACTCACTGTAAAGATAAGCGTTCTAATTTGCTAGCGTGCAGCCTCATATGCCTCGCTATGTTTGATCAAAATGCTTTTTCACATCAACATATTTATTGGTAGACCATAAAAAAAGCGCATAACCTCCGTGCCATGAACTAATCAGTATATTATTTTCCGTCCGCCACCAGTCTGCACAGCTCCTTTCAGTGTTAACTTCGCCGAGAACAACAAGATAGATGATGTCGTAACAGAGATAAATGCCAACGAGGGAGTAACGCTCCGATCCGACACCGAAGAGTTCAGGATCCAAGGAAACCGACTGCTGGCTGCAGTAGTGTTCGATTATGAGGTAATGTCGGTCGCGACCAACAGAGCCGACGCCGGTCTTCAATATGTACGCTGTTGAACGCCAAGCTTGTCTTGTTTGCAGACCAACAGAAGCCACCAGGCCAAGGTCACTTGTACCAAAACAGCTACAGGCGAAACGGTAACTATGTATGATTGTGATTGGGAACAGTTGTAAGTCTTTGTATGTGCGCCTGCAATGCACATTTTAAGGCTGGGCGCAATTGGCTCTTCGATCGCCGCTAGCACGCGCTCAAAACTTAGCAACTTAGCAGTCGCCTTTATCCAAAGTGGTTAATAGGAGGAGGATTAACAATCAAGCATGTTGTTCCTCTGGGAATCAAACCCAGGACTCTCTGGCCTTTGTTTCCGAGGCGGGCGTGTTAACTTTTTTTTCTAAGTCATCGTAGCCGTGGCAGACCAGTTCTTCTGCAGTACAAACAGAGACATTGCCTCTGAGCTAGAGCGCCACAGCGTTGATGTGCAGCTATGCTAGTGCGTCTCAAATAGTGGGGCACCCCACTTTAGTTAACTAAAAGCAGAGTTTGATGCACACATTACAGGTTTGAGGCAAATGGTCAAAAGACTTTTTCATATATTTTGATGGCATTTTCCTTCATTTCCAGTTGTCCTTTACAATCCTTGTAATTGTGAACAATTTGAACGACAACCCTCCGGTCTTTGAACGGACCACCTACAACCTAAATGTTGACGAGGTAAGTGATTATTTCCTTTTCACGTTTGTCGTACGACTGCTGTTTTTAAATGATAGATTTGCCTATTTGAAAAAAAAAACAAACTTTCTTATTCCCTCATTTTCTGAGTAATTTATTTATTTATCTATCTATTGAGATGATTCCCGTAGGAAACAGCGTGGGTCGTTTTGCCGCCACCGACCTTGACCAGCCCTCTCAGCTCTTCTACAACCTAAAGTCTGAATCTGTAAGGGCCTTTTTCTTCCCTCTGTATTTGCACATATTACATATTACATTTTGATGTAACCAGAAAATGAAGTAGCTGATTTTTTTTTTTTTATTCCGTTTGATTTCTGCAGGATGCCTTTAAACTAAGGTCGCTTACTGAGCCTGACCTTCTGATGAACACATTACTGGACTACGATAAAGTCCGAAATATAAGTTTAGTACTCTACGCTCAGGTGAGTAACTTGTTCAAATAATGACGTTCATTGTAAAACAAGTCCGAAATATAAGTTTAGTACTCTATGCTCAGGTGAGTAACTTTGACGTTCATTGTAAGAGACACAAATTTTCTCACATAAAACAAAAAAAAAATTATAAAATGATAATGATAATGAGATACATGCATTGATCAAAAGGAAAAAAAAACAACATTTTGATTAGATTAATCACAGGGGAGCTGCGGTTTATTCGCGATTATCCAGATTTTCCAGACTACAAGTTGCTCCGGAGTATATGTCGCCCCAGCCAGCTAGAGTGCCCTCTAGTGGCTGTCAGTGTGAAAGTAATGAACATGTAAATGTTTAGTGGTACCGGAGTAGCAGATACTGCTACACAAGCCTAGAGTGCCCTCTAGCGGCTACGTACGTGAAAATAACAAACCTGTGAAATTGTATTTTATTTTAATATATAAGTCGCACCTGAGTATAAATCACAAACCCAGCCAAAAGATGAAAAAAAAAATGCTACTTATAGCCTGGGAAATACGGTAATCATCTTATCTACCGTAAGTAGAATTTATAGAATTTTCGACCCCCACTAAAATGTACTAACCTCAGTTCCATTTTAACATTTATCAGGCAACAGAAGGAAAGAGGGAACCAAGAATGATTGAATGAATCATGAATTCAATCAATTAATTGTATCATTAATTATATATTTTTCCTAAAGGACACACCACCGACAGATTCAGGGGGCGTATCTTTCACCGCTACGGCCACCATTGCAATCACCGTCGTCGATGTGGACAACAGACCTCCGTGGTTCCAGCCCTGCAACAAGCATCAGCTGGGTGTGGCTCTAGTTTGCCAGGGTGACGGATACATAGGCAGAGTCACCTTAAATGAAAAAGTGGTGAGGCCTCTTAAAATCTACATGGCGACATTATTTTCTGTCCTTCTGTTGCCACAACGGGACCATTTCTTCCGTACGGGAACGGCTTCAACCCTCAGTATCTGATGTAATAAAAGCCAAACCTACAAGTTGAAGTTTCAATTGCTCCTGTATCAAATGTAGTACTGCTGCAGTAAAACAAAGTTCATCCGCCCTGTGTGAGCACTTTATCGCACTTGGTCTGTTTATACAGTACTGTTGCCCAGGAGTTTACACAAACTTGGTGACTTCATCATAAAGGATTTTTTTTTAAATCCGACCTCGCTTCATTTTCGCTACATTGCGATATTTTACGGTAAATACAAATTTTTAAATTTCCAGTATTTTCGTGAAAAATAATCATTTGCTAGCCTGAAAAGAGTAAGAAATAAAAAAATGATATAAACATTACATTGTTATATATATATGTGTATATATGTGTATATATATATATATGTGTATATATGTGTATATATATATATA